GAAGAGAAGCAGCTTCAGTTTTATTTTTCACAAGAAAAGCACTTAAACCAATTTCGGTACTTTTACTAACAATCATTTAAGGGGTGGAGCTCCTTAGGAATTGGCTCATTTAAATGTTCAGAGAATCTGTCATTTCATTTCTGGTTTCTCTCATGTATATTGTTAGCATGTACTTCACCTGCTTAGGAAAACATGAGTGTCTCTCTTTCTGTTTTGACTAGGTTTTACCAGATCGAAGTCATCCCAAACTGCTGATGAGTGGAGGTGGGGGGTACCTTCTCTCAGGCTTCACTGTCACCATGGACACCCTTAAAGCAGACCCTGGTCTCAGATCCAACTCAGGCACTTTAGAATTGCGCAAGACTGAAGAACCAGCAGCTAAAAAACGGAAATGCCCGGAGTCTGACTCTTAACCTTTCAAAAGTTGCTTTGATCTTTGTTCTTAGGTATTATACAGTTAGGAAGTAAACTTTAAATGTCCTGAGAATAAGATTATGTCTGTACACTTGTTCCTGAGAAAGATAAGTAAGCCTTTTGTTCACCTCTGACAGATGGATCTGGTCTGTCAAAACCTTGAGCCAAAAACCCAGGCCTGGGTATGCAATGGGCTGAGATACAGCCAATTCTGTTTATTTCACAGCAATACACTAAGTACTTTTAGTACTCCATGCAGATATCTTGAGAATTTAGACATCCTAAAGATATATTTATACAAGACTTTGTTTATGTGTTAAGCAGAATAACACAGCATAGTTAAAACTTGGTGGGTACTTTAAGGAAGGAATTTGTGGAAAAATTCCCTGTTCCACTCTCTGCAACCTAAGCAATACTGATGTGTGTGTTGGATTTACAGTACCAAAAATGTCCACCCTCTTCCCTGCAGTGGAAGAAACTTAAAATTCCAGATGTTTTATTTTAATAGTTGACAACCTAGGAAAGTCAAGTATTTATTTTGTTGCTTTTTTTGTTGATAGAAAGGTGTAGTCGGGTGCTTTTTTGTATTAATTTACCAGTCTCCTCATTCTTTATTCTAAATAAAGTGACTAGAATTTTGGAGTACTATTCAATTAAAGGAAATAAAGGGTTTTTTCCCTCCCCAGAGACTTATGGAGATACATAATTGTATACACAAATATATGTACAGTGAGTCCTCATTTAACGTTGTCAGTAGATTCTGTGACTTGAAGCAAAACAATGTATACTGAAACCAATTTTACCATAGGCTAGTTCATAGAAACAAGAGTTAAGTTCTTATGGCATCTCATCAATGTTATAATGAAATTACACTGAATGAACCGATGTTATTCGAGGACCTGCTGTATATGGATGTTGGTATATATTCATATATATAGATATTTATATATATATACACATACACACGGAGACAGGATGCACTATCCCTATGACTCTGACAAAGTTTAGCACAGGGCTTAGACCAGTTCTCATTGCATTAGTGTCACTCCTTGTCAAATGTATTTTAAAGTGCCTTTTTGGTGATTATTAATGCTGGTTTGTTGAGCTCTGGCATGATTAGTTGGTTAGTCTTTTTAAGCTCTGAAAAAATATAATCACATTATTTGGGCATCTGCTGCAGCCAAGAAAAGTATTTCAAGTCAGCCGCGGCTCCTGTCCACGAGTCTTGCTCACTAAATACGCTCATTGTGTGTACGTATTGTTCACATCGTTAGAGTACAGATGCAAATCATCAGCCAGGAGCATCTCAGAAAAAAAAGCTTTTCCTAATAGCATGCACTATTTTAATAATGGCCAGTGTGATTACCAGGTACAGTTCTGATTCTTTTTTCTTAAAACAATTGCTTTCAAAGAATAAAAGTGTTTTCTACTGGGATCTGTTGTACTGACATTAATGATGCCGTCTGTGACACCGCATTCACTGGCTTTCAGCCGATTGTGACACATGGTCTGTAAGAAAACATGTCCTGAGTGGCACCTCACTAGACTTGTCTTTGCGAACAATCCTTGCAGGTGTTACCCAGGTACAACCAGTTAAGTTTGATCAAGGGGCACGGTGCATAGACTCATTCAGTAGTGGCTGGTCTCCACTGGTGACTTAGAACCATCGCCTCCTTGGGACTCAGCCCATTCCCAAGTTCCATTCTATCCAATTCAGTCTGTTGTTCTGCACTACTGTGTGCTCACCGAGCTGCCCCTGGGATTGACTTGTGGACTGATCTCATGCAATAGCAGCAAGTTAACCCTAACCTTTGAAAGTTATTTTCCTCTCAATATAGTTTACTTTGAGAACTCATGATTTGTGGTTTGAAAACCTGTCTAAACATACGGTAACAGACTCAAGGAAGAGAGGAGGCAAAAAAGAAAAAATGTGATTGATTTAAATTAGGGTCACCAAAATATAGCCCACAAGTCTAATCTCGCTCATTGCCAGTATGGCCTGAAAGCTAAAAATGACTTTTCCATTTTTAAATGGTTGAGGGGGAAAGCAAAAGAAGAATAGTCTCATGACTTGCAAAAATTACATAGCATTCAAATTGCAGTGCCCATAAATTAAGTTTTAGTAGAGCACAGCCATGTTAATTTGTGTATATATATATATATGGTTCCTGGCTGCTTTCATTCTGTGGCAGAAGCCAACAGTTGTGACAGAGACCATATGGCCCTTAAAGCCTAAAGTGTGTGCCATCTGGCTCTTTAAGAAAAAGTGTGCCGTCTAGCTGGTGTGGCTCAATGATTGTCAACCCATGAATCAGGAGGTCATGGTTGGATTCCTGGTCACATGTCTGGGTTTTAGGCTCAGTCCCTAGTAGGGGGTGTGCAGGGGGCAGCTATCAATGATTCTCATCATTGATGTGTCTCCCTCTCTGAAATCAATAAAAATAGATTTTTTAAAAAGAAAAGTGTGCTGACCATGGATTTAAGTGATCCTCTGGGCCCCCCACACCTGCTGGCAGCATCTGACGTGGTTGATCCCTCTGCTTGCTACAATTTCCCTCCCGTGGCTTCCAGGACAGCACTCTCCTGGTTTCCCTCCTGCCTTTCGGCCTTTCTTCCTCCATCCGCTGCTGGCTCCTCATCACCTCTGAGATGAATGTTTAGGAAAACATTGCACCTCTTCACTTTTTTGTCTACTTTTGTCCACTCACTCCCTAGATGGAGGGATTTGAGAAATGATGAAAGAAAAAGATACGACCATGAGGTGGCAGTAGCACCCACATGTTTTATTGTGTAATGGGTGACACCTGACAGGTTTTGAAGGTGGAAGGGAGATGACCCTCACAGCAGAAATCTGTCCAGAAGCTACACCTTGGAGTTGCTACTCAGATGGGAAGCGGGACAAGAGAACTCCCAGGGAGAGGGGAGTCAGAGAGGTGCCTTTTGTCCCAATTTTGCTCAGCAGTGTGGCAGGGAGTTGCTGGGTCGGAGAGCTCTGAGGGGCAAAAAAAAAAAATGCCATAACTTACAAGGCGTGGGGTTTTATAAGCACAAGACCATCTTACCAACGGCCAGCAGAGGCCAGGTGTGCTTCGGCAGAGGTGGGCAGGTGGGCCTTAAATGCCTAAACATTGGCTCATTTGGAAAATGTTTAAAAATAAACGGATGTGTAAAATTCGTATCTGGCCCTGGCAGGTTTTTGAACTAATACTCCTCAACCTACAGTGAAGAAATAACCTACGGGGCTAATGCACAGAGGCCGTCTTTGGCTCATTTATAAAAAAGGAGGTGATCTCACCCAGTTTTAAGGCTTTAAATACCATCTCTATGATGATGACTCCCACAGTATGTCTTTAGCACAGACCTTTCCTTAAGCTCCAGGCCCATATACCCAACTCAACATTTCCGCTTGGTGTCCGGTCACATATCAAACTCAACATACCCCAACCTGAGCTCCTCATACCTCCCCCGCCAAGACAGTCCCTCCTGCAGTCTTCCCACCTCTGTTCTTCAGGCCTAAAACCTTGGTATCATCTGTGACGCCTCTTTCTCTCATGCCACACCAAATCCAATAGCCCTACCTGTCATGTCTCTCTAAAATAGGTCAGAGGGTGACTACTCCCACCATCATGCCATCACCCTGGTCCCAGCCATCACGATGACCCACCAGGGTATTGCAGTGGCCTCCTGACTGGCTTCTGCATCTCCGCCCTCACCTCCCCACTGCCTTATCTCAACCCAGCAACCAGAGTGTTCTCGTTATTAACTTGCTGTTTTCACATTAAACATATATTATTGTAATTAAAAGAAATTGGTGGCCCTGGGCAATCCTTGACTTCTATTTTTTTAAATACGTTTTTATTGATTCAAAGAGAGGAATGGAGAGGGAGAGAGAGATAGAAATACCAATGATGAGAGAGAATCATCAATCAGTTGCCTCCTGCATACCCGCTACGAGGATCGAGCCTACAACCCAGCAATCGAACTGTGACCTCCTGGTTCATGGGTCAATGCTCAACCACTAACCTCCTACCCTGCCAAAGCAATAGGAGTGGATTAATTAAATGTTCGACCAAATATAGCAGGCTAATTTTTAAGTTGATAATTTTGTATGGCCCAAGAATGATGTTATAAATATCCAAATGGCCCTTGGCAGAAAAAAGGTTCCCCATCCCTGCCTTACAGAGTAGAAATCAGGCCCTGACGGTTCAGTGATCTTTCTGGACCAGATGTGATTCCCAATCCTGAGTTCTTCCCATTATCCGGGCTTTCTCTTCAGCCCAGAAAACTGACCATGGGCCGGATATTCCCAGAGCTCTCCAGATTATAGGATTTTTAAAGTAATGTCTTAGCTCTTTTTATTTTTTTTTTCCAAACAGGTTCTTCAAGCCTATTTAATCTTTCTCCAGCCTGCAGGAGAAAATGTCTTTTCCTGATCTCTCTTTATATCCTTGAAAGGTTTGCATTGTTTTCCTATTGTAAATCCAAGACCAATAAATCCTAGTGCTGTCTTTAGAATTCACTTTAAAGAATGGACTTGGAAATCACACTCCTCCATATTAGCCCAAAGGAAGCTGAGAACATGGAACTTTAGGTTTCAGATCAATCTTTTATTATTTTAAACGGATACAAACATATTTTTTTCAAGGATGGTAGCACAGTCATTGTCACAAGCATGTTAATATGTTGATTTTGCAAGAGAATATGCTACAAGTCATGCTATTCTTATTTTCAATAGCATTCTGGCAAAAAATTAAAGACATTCCCAATTGCTTCAAGCACTTAATGAATAGTAAATTCTATTTTCTGCCTTTGGCTAAATAAATGGTGGTGGGAAATAGATAATGTGAAGGCTGCTTCTTAAAATGGCCCTTGGCTCCAACGACCCTCAGCCCCTTCGATTACCACTGAACTTCTCAGCTATTTTCTGTAGTTCCAAATCCATTGCAGCCAAGTTTTCAAGTTCCTTTTCCTAAAAAACACAGAAAAACAGAAGCATGAGGTCCCAGATCAATTCATTTCATGGTAGTTTAAGGCAGCAGGTACAGAAAGGGGAATTGTTGATATGTTAGAGGTTATATGAGACGCCCTACATCAGTGGTTCTTAAAGTGTAGCCCCCAGGCAGCGGCGTCACTGAGGAACTCCACAGAAATGCAGATTCTTGGACTCCACCTGGGACTTAGCGAATTCCAGATGCTGATGCACAGTCAGGTTTGAGAAGCACCTATGTGATCAATATGAGGAAAAGGGGACAGCCCTGATCATGTCACCTCTCCCAGGTGTAAATTTCTGATTATTACCGGCCATGTGCTGGCAAGGAAAGACCAAACAACTAATTTCTCTATCATCTGTTCTTCCTTGGGAAATAGTGACGCAGCGCCAAATAAGCAAGGGAAGACACCAGAGCAGTGGTTGGTTGTCCACCTTGGCTGAATACTGAAACCACCTGGGAGCTTTAAAAAAGTCTGATGCCCAGGCAGCACCCAGTACCAAACAGGATCTCTGGGGGTGACTCCCAGACATCAGTCATTCTGCAAGCTCTCCAGGGGATCGCAGTGTGCGGGCAAGGTTGAGCAGCAGGTGGGCAGGGATGCTGACAGTGGCAAGATATGGGGGTGGGGGGTGGGGGTGGTAATCAAACAGAAGCTGTCTCCACTCCGTTAACTGGGGGTGCATTATCATGGTGATTAATTCCCAGTTTCTCCCCATTAATATCAGATAGTCTTGAGCCTATTAACATTAACCATCTTAAGTTAATTTTAAACAAAATCCCCACACTGTACCTCTTCCTCGGTCAGAACTCCGGGGCCAGCCCTGTCCTTTTCACCTTCCACTGCTCGGTGTGGGCTCAGCGGCTCCTCGGGGTCATAGAAATCCGGAAATTCAGCCGACTTCTTCCTGAAGTGCAGGAGCTGGTCCAGCTGGGCCACGCGATCGTACTGCCTTTTCAGATCCAGTTTGGGGACCAGGTTTCTCTTCTCATATCCCCAGTTCACATCCTCCTCAAAGGGCTTCCTCTCCCACCAGTCATAGCTGTATTCTGGGAAGAAATTCTTCTCATTCAAGGTCAGGCCATTTTCATCTTCACCCTCAAGAAGATTGTCATCTATGTCATCTTTTCTCTCAAAATTCTCCCCTAACCTCCTCCTCTTCTCCGTGGCGCGGTAGGGAGCGTACTGCTTGCCTGGAAGCCGGGCTTCCTCCCTGTTCTCCTTAGTGCCTTGCAGGTCCTCCCGCCGCTGCCACTTCCCCTGGGCCCCCTCCTCACCGTTTTCCTCACCATAGTTGAGGTCATTTCTGTCCTGCTCTTTCCACTCGCCCTGCGGGTGCCTCCTTGTCTTGTCCATCTGGTTTTCTTGGACACGGTAGTGTCCTTCACCCAAAAATCGTTTCTCTTCTTTGTCTGGACTGCCATAGGCCCCAGGCTCCCCGACCCTGGCTCTGTGGCGATATCCCCACTCAGGGCCCCTCTCCTCCTCACTTTCCTCACCATATCCATATGCCATGTTGTCAAGCTCTGCGTTGGGGGGAGTTCGCCTGTCCTCTTCCTGGCTCGCCTCACTGGGAGGCCTTGGAGCCCCGTACTTCTCATTTCCTCTGGCCCCATAACGCCCCCCCTCCAGGTTCTCAGGAGCCGGGACCCCTATATAACTTCTCACGACTTCCCCATATTCCGGTTCTTCCTCGGAAGCCCTGTAGGGTGTTGGATAACGATCCCTCTTGTCCCCTAAGCTGGCCATGCCCACGTTGGGCTCTTCGGATTCCTCATAGGGTTGTCTCCTTTCCTCTGAGGGAAGATTCCTTTCTTGAGAGGATCTGTCAGGCCTGCTCCGCCCGTGGTGATGTCTCGGCCTCCAGTGTCGTTTGTCCATCTCATGGCTGGAGTCTTCCTCACTTTCCTCAAAGTCTTCCTGGCTCCCAGATTGGCTTTTAGATTCGGGGGAGTGTTTCTCCGGGTTCCTTGTCTCTTCTCTACTCTCTTGGCTACTCCTCTCCCTGCTGTGTGTCTTCTCCTCGGGGAGCCTGGCAGAGTGTGTATTGTATCTGGACATTATCTCCTCTTTTTTCTTAGCTGCAGCCTGGTTTCTTTTGTCAAGAAAGGCATTTTGTGTCTCGCCTGGCTCTTCCAGGTGTTTCTCTTCACTGCCACCTTCCCCATGCTCCCTTTTCGGGTATTTCTCTCCTTCCTCTTCCTCACCGTCCTCTCCCTCGCTCTTCTCAGAATGGTATGTCTTTGCTTCTTTGGAGACTTGACTCTCAGAGGGATGGAGGCTCCCTTGGGGCTCGCCTGCTCCCTCTCGGCTGTGCCCACCTCCCTCTGTGTTGGCCACTGACGGGCCTTGGATGCCCGCCTCCTCTGGGTCTCCTGTGTCCTCCCTGCTGGAGGGCCCATGGGCTTCTGAGGCGTCAGCTTGGTCTCTTAACAATCTAACTTTGAACCTTGTTTTTTCGTTTTCACTTTCCTCTTCATCTTTAACCTCTTTTCCACCTGTAATGAAAAATTTAAAAGAGTAAGTATAACTTCAGAATTGCTTGTGGTTCAATCTCAGTGACCACTACAAATGCTAAGGATGCTGAACAATCACTTGAAAAATGTTTAAGTTAATAAAGAATATACTTAGATTCCTTTTAAAAGCAAGTGGCATGAAAACTCCTTGGCTGTTTCAATCTAATAATAAATTCTCTATTTTTATGTTTTCATAACACCCAACTAGCATCTCTCATTGGTCCTATCGATGATCATACTGAAAACCAAGTATAGATTTATGAAATGTTAGAATTTAGAAGCAGAAGAAACCTTAGAATTCGTCTAATGCATCTTTTTGCAGACTAAGACCTTGAGAGTAAGAGAAGTGTGATTCGGGACTATTCTTTCCATCTTTGCTCTAAGCAGGGATTGAAAAGTTACCATTGTATTAATGGCTCTACCTAGAATCCAGCTAAATAAAGTTAAATAGCCAAAATAAAAAAAAATTAAAAGAAAAATTGAAACATTTAAAATTTTTAGTTTATCTGACTTTTATTGTCCAATCAACTATCTAAATTAAACCTAGCAGTCATGACAATATAACAGTTTTGGTGAGAAGAAGGGTGTATATTTCTTTACTGAGAAAACTACTACACAGCAGTGGAAAGGCCATTTCTTCCTTCACTCCGTCCCATCTGCCCAACATGCTCTCAAATGTTGAGGATGAAGATCAGTATACTGAGTTTTCTTTGTATTTCCAAGAGTCAACCGTAGATGGTATTCCCCAATATTTTAATTGAATGCTGTTCTCTCCCGTCTTTTTCAAATGTCGACAGCTCCTGTACTAAACCCTCCTTAACTCAAGGACATCCCATGAAAGGAGATATGCAGTTAACACTGTCGGACTTGTTAGCTGGGAGGTTTGGATTTCAACTTCTATCATTGAGTTCAGATCGAATTCCTGCAGCCAATGACACTCAGAGCTCTGGGTCTACATCTGAGCTCTCCATTGTAGGGCCCACCAGCTCTCTGGCTATTTAGCACTTGAAATGTGGCTGGTCCAAATGGAAGATGTGCTACAAGCGCAAGGTAACCACCAGACTTTTGAAAACTTCATATAAAAATTGTAAAACATCTTAATTTTTCACATTGATTATATGTTGAAATGACAATATTTTGAATGTTTTGGATACTATATATCATAAATATATTGGATGTATACAAATTATATAGTAAATAAAATATATTAGATAAAATTAAATATATTATTAAAATTGATTTCACTTGTCTTTTTATCTTTTTAATGTGGCTACTAGAAAATTTCAAATTATATTTGTGGTTCACATTATGTTTTCATTTTCATGGCTCTGATGAGTCATGTTGAACTGACATTTGCAAAATAGAAAAGAATTGGTCTGTTCTGCAAAAATGTCCAAGAAACAGTGGAAGGTCTGTATCCCTCTGCTTACTGCCCAGCCTGCCATGATAGCATTCTCATGTTTTATGAGACAGTTGAAATGTCTCTGACCTTTCCCACCCAGACACCTGAGGGCTGGCCCCTCACCAGTCCCGTTGCCTTTGGCGAGGCAGTGGGGGTATGTGCAGCATTGAGGCTGGTGGGGCGGGCCAGGTAGGCTCGGGTAAGCAGGGAGGCTTTGGCCAGATACCGATGTCATTCTGAGAGTCGGCTGCAATAATGCCATGATCAGGCAGGATCTCAGCTTCCCGGGGCAGAGACCGTGTGGCCCCTTCCTACTGCCTGCTGGTCAGGAACAAGGTATTTTTATTTTTCCCTAGTTAAATTTGTGCTGCCATTAGCAGCTTGTGCCTGAAGCTTAGCACTTCCTCCTAAATTTAGCTTTAAGCCCCCGCAGGTGAGATCAGTCACTGTCCATCTGTAAAACCAAGGTGTAAAGCTCACTCTTTCAAGTGAAAAGGGGAACTTGCATGTTCCATCTCTATAATGTTGCAAGGGTGACCAGGTCAACCCAGTGGAAGAGATTCATATACCTACTATGGTTACCCTGAAACTCCCAATGGTGGATTGAGTTCCCCAGGCAATTCTTTTGGTCAATTGCTAATATTTGTTTTTACCATTTTATGCTTGAGGGTTCGTGTGCAGCAATAGCAAGAGAGTATTATATCGCAATGAGAAATTTTTAAAAATTTATTTTTATTGTTGAGGGTATTACAGATGTCCCCCATTCTTCCCTTCTGCCCACCTCTGCCTGGCTCCTGCCCCATCTCTGGCCTTCCCTGCACTGTTGTCTGTGTCCATGGGCGATGCATTTAAGTGCAATGAGAAATTTTGAAGGTGAAAAGAAAAAGAAAAGTCCACTGTTCCCAGCCTGACTAAAATTTTAAAAGCATAAAGAGGTGTTGAAGGGGACAGTGTTTTTGGATTTGTTTAAATCAGTTTGACTTCATTCATAAGAGAGACTGCATAGTTTTACAAAATTGATCTCGTAGCGTCAACTCCCAATGGATACTGCTTGCATCACTATTCAGATTTTGTTTTCAACAGAAGCTGATTTGTGTAGAGAAAACATCCCATCCAGATTCAGAAGGTTATTGCTCTGACTTATTGGATGCTCTGCTTCTACCCTCACCCTTTCCAGTTCTCAGTCCCGGGATCCCTGGTGCCATTTGGTAGTACTTTTCTTCGAATAATCTCTGCATTAAAATGGCTTAACCAATCTGTCATGTAAACAGGCCACACGTTTCCAAGTCACCTTTCCCAGCTTCTAACTTGGAAGATGATCACTGTCAAGAGTAGAAGGCAAAGAGGAGAATATGGTACTCTTCTTTTCTTCCATCTTCCAACATTCCCAGAACACTCAGTCCTCCCTCCTCCAGTCACAAACAAGCACTCTCCACATTTGCCTGCACCCAAATGAAAATCCAAACTCTGGAACCAAGGAATTTAAGAACTGATAGACATCTCAAAGACAATCATTGAGCCCACCCCCCTCATTTTACTTTGAGGAAAAAGCCCAAAGGGGCAAGGGATGCAGTGCCGGAAACTTTCCCATGGTCACGTAGCTATCAAGTGGTAGAGTAGAGCCTAGAAGCCATACCTTCTGCTTCCCCTGATACCAGTCTAGTCTATACTCCCCCCACTGTATCATGTTCCTGGTTCATTTGGAGGTAAAGTGGAAGGTGAACTAGAGGGAGCAGAAACAAGGATCACTGGAGGGACAACACTCCCTGGTAGTGCAGGAAACTTACTCTTCTTCAGGGCTTGTCGGCACTCAGGGGTGATGGGTGGAGCATTGGACTTCGACAAGGCATTTGAGAGAACCTCGATGATGCAGCGAGTCACCTGGGGGAAACGCAAAAGCAGGTTGGCAAAAGCTGGTACCAATGGGATGACAGACTACTCAACCCAGAGCTGATGCCCAGAAAGGCTTGGCCCTGTGAGCCGTACTGATGCAGAATCCTTGGGGTAGGAATGTAGATTTACAGGACTAATGAAACCTCCCAGGCCTCTCCACAGAGCAATGAAAGATGGCATTGGGCCAAGATCACCCTGAGAAGAGAAATAAATACCCATTTCTGAACAAGTTGGGAGGAAGATGGTGGAATGAGACAGTTATCCTCAGAGGTACTAAAACATCCAGGAAGGAGGTGTGAGCCCAGGGCAGGAGGGGCATCCTTTGCCCTCATTCCCTCAGGGATGAAAACCTGGTTTTGTCAGACTATGATGTGTTTTTTGTTGTTCATTTTTGTTTATTTTGTTTGGTTTGGTGTAATAAGAAGTGGGAGAATCTACAATATAGATATAAGTCTAGATTCTGGACTTATATTTCAACTTACCATTTCTTCATTGTGGTTCCTGCTGTCCACTGGCATAGAACTGACAGCTTGGAAAGAGAAAAAGAATGGGAAATGACTTGAGTTAATTTTGAAAGTGGTGTGAATCCAAACACGGAATTATCCCACCTCACACATGCAATACTTGGAGACAGGGTCAAAATTAGAGCTGAACAGAGTGGAGATAGTTGGGTATGATTGGCTAGTAACTACACACACACACACACACACACACACACACACACACACACACACACACAAACACACACACACAGCTGTGTTCCCTAGCGATGTCTTAAACATGATTTGGAAATTAATGCTATCTTATACCCAGTATAAATCAAATTCAAAGCACAGACAAGGGGAGATTTGGGGGTACTGGTAATGTTCTGTTTCTTTTTTAAAAAATATTTATTTATTGATTTCAGAGAGGAAGAGAGAAAGAGAGAGATAGAAACATCAATGATGAGAGAGAATCATTGATTGGCTGCCTCCTGCACAACCCCCACTGGGGAACGAGCTTGCAACCCAGGCATGTGCCCTTGCCCGGAATCAAACCTCGGACCCTTCAGTTGCAGGCTGATGCTCTATCCACTGAGCCAAGTTGGCTAGGGCTAATGTTCTGTTTCTTGATCTTGGTGCTGATGACATTGGTGTGCTCAATGCATGAAAAATTCACTAAGCTGTATACTTATGATCTGTGCAGTTTTCAATCTGCCATTATACTTCAATAAAAAGTTTAAAATAAACCTAGTTTAGATGAAACCAGTGTGCCCTCCTCCACCCTTCTGCCCATTCTAAATGGTAAAGATTTGTGCTTTCCTACACCTATGCCTGTCCTCCCCTCCCTCCGAAAAAATATCCTCCCCAAAATTCACTTCCTTTACAGAAACATGGTTGTGACTATCTCACATAATCAATGACCTCATTTTTACCGGCCAGAAGCTCTCTGGCTGAACAGACTTGCTTATGCATCTTATCGGTCCATGCTGTATATAATCCCCATTGTCTGCAGCCATGCAAAGAACATGAAGGTATCTAATTCCAACTAATAGAGCATCAAGTCCATAACATAATATGCAAGTAACTACTTATAAGGATATTTTAGTTTAGCAACTATGTATGAAGGCAGTTCAAAAGGATAATTTTTAACTCATTTAAATTAAATTTCATGAGATTCTGCTTATTTTAAACCAGATTGAAGTATGTTTGTCTTCTTGGGAAATGCTTCAGGTGATTTTAATTTTCCAGTGCCTTCTTTTTTTCTTTCAAAGCTGTTTTGATACTTTTATCTTTCACTTTGACTTTGTGTTGTTTAAGCCTTTTCCATTGGACAAGCTCAAAGCATTTATGTACATAGAAGCTCATCTCCTCCGTTCTCCTGGCACTTCCTGGAGGAGAAGCTCAGTGCAGAAAGTTCTTCTAGGTCCCTAAAGCAAGAGAAGAGCTAGAGCAAAACTCTCAGACATCGGAGATGTAAGCTACTCAAATGCAGTTATTTATAATCAGCAACCTGACCTTTCCCTCCTAAGTGTTTGCTCCCCAAGCCTCTTTAACCACTTCCATCCAATCAACTACATATCGTAGGGCTCAACCTAGAAATACAACTATTCCATTTACTCACCTTACTGACATTTCCTCTTCAAAGTATGACCTGGGATCTACTTCAATAGTTTCAAGAGGCCCAAAGATATCCAGCATATTAAAATCATTTGTGAAATGTGTAAGTGGCTAACAAGGTATGAAGACCCCATATTCTTCCTGAAATGTAGTTCAGACAAGATCCAGATGACCCACCTTTGGCACCCAGGCTCCACTACGCTGAGCCATTATTCCCGCCCCCCCCCGCCCCCACCCCCAATTAGTGCTATTTGAGAACATTCTCATTTTGGAACTTACTCTTCCCACCTGAAATCTGTAAAATCCTCTGAAAAAAAAAAAACTGAGGTAATTCCTCCTCTCATAAACTAGAAGGTGCCTTTAAAAGCTTTATTATATTTCTTTGGTATTGTAGCTTCTTGCTTATACTTCCCTCTTTTCCCACTGACAAATGTAAAGTAGGTGTTTTTAATAACTACTGATATTGTCAAAGTATTAACAGTAATCAGATTTGGGGGGAGAGAAATATTTTTCTTTTGTTGCTCTAAACAATTTTCAGCTCATGTTTATTATTACAAAAACAGTATTGTTTCTCTGATTGAAGCTCTTCAGAAATCTTTTTGATGGAAAGGAACTAAGGTCTCCTTGTGAAAGTACATTGTGCATCTTGGTGAGACATATAAGTACGATTGTATTTCTTCCAACAGAATCCGTGACAACAAAGTAATAATCAAAACATCTTGATTTCCCTAAAGTAGTTACCTTTCCTGTTTTTGAATAAAGATTCAGAAGGCACAAAAGAAAAGCCAGTTATTATGTTAAAATAAAGTAGTACATGGTAGAAAAATGTCAAATAATATTGTATGATAAATCTGAGAATAACACCCAAAGTATGAATATCTCATAAGAGTATCAGGGTTTGATCCCAGATTGAACATAAAGCTATACAATAACAAGTTAAGCCAGCCCTTTGAATGCAGAAATCATCTAACCTGGTATAATATGGTTATCATACTGCCACTTCTCTCATGTTAATTTATAGAGTGCACAGTAGCTACTGTAAAAACGTATCCCCTCCCCCAGAAGCTCTGAAGGGTAGAAAATGAGCCATATGGTTTCCTGAGGTTTCTTCCCAGGCCTGAGATTTTGCTAAATAACAAACTCTGCTTGAAGGTTATCACGTCTCATTTCCAGGTACTGGGGGAGGTGGGATTGGAAAATAGCTGTTAATGGATATGGGGTTTCTTTCTGGGTAATGAAAATGTTCTGAAATTTGATAGCGGTTATACAATCTGTGAATATACTAAATATCACTAAATTAGGCACTTTGAAGGGTGGGTGAATTATAGATAATATAATTTTTAAATACAATGTCTCCATTTTAGCTCATATTAAAATATGAACCCTTCTTAAAATATTCTCTTCTATAAGAGAGCTGTAAGAATTTTACCACTATTGTTAAATAAGCTTCACAAATGTCACTGTTATTGTGATGCACAGTACAATGCATAGCACAGCTTTGGCATCTTAAGCAATTCCTTTCTGAAGATATTTTTGACAAGAAAGATTCCAGATTATTCATTTGGATTTCTTTAATTAAATTGAGAACACTTATAGGCAATTTGTAAGAATGCAAGCATTTTAGAAAATTCTAAATGTATGTAGCTTGCAATAAAATAAATGACCACTGGCTTTCCTTTTGTCTCTTTACATTTTGGATCCAGTAATTGTTGTCAATAAAAGCTTCATATTCATGAATGGCAACATTTCAATTCTAGTTAGAATCTCAATCTCAGATAAAAAAAATTTTCTATGAGGTCGTTAAAACAGCCAAAGAAAACCTCCAGTTTAATCTGGTGATCTATTTACTTCTTAATGGTCTCAATACTCCTAATGACTTCACTTCAACACACACACTTTTAAAAAATCTCCAGAGCTAGTTTGAAAGATTAATTTCACATTTTTACCCACATCAAGAGAAACTGTCACCCTAGTCTGTTTTGCTCAGTGGTTAGAGCGTTGGCCTGAGGACCTAAGGGTCGCAGGTTCTATTCCTGGTCAAGGGCACGTACCTCTGTTGCAGGCTAGATCCCTGGCCCAGGTCAGGGCTTGTGTGGAAGACAACCGATTATCTGTCTCTCTCACATCAATGTTTCTCTCTCTGTGTGTCTTCCCTTCCTCTCTCCCTTCCCCTCTCTCTAAAAATCAATGGAAAAATGTTCTCAGGTGAGGATTTTAAAAAGAGAGAGAGAGAGAGACTCAAATATTTCACCCTGTTATATGTCAATTATACCTCAATTTAAAAAAACAGAAAAAGCTTATCCTCCCAAATTGACTAAAACAATTTTTTATTACTCCTGAGGATATTTTTGTAGTCACTTTCTATTATATTGCTTTTCTGGAATACAAAAATAAATTGTCTGCTGAACTTTCCATTCATACCTTAAAAATATATGAACTTGAGTGTGAAATTACCTTTCTCCAGTGACGGAAATACAAAATACAGAAAAATATTACATTAACCCTGTGGACACACATACATGAACACCCACACATATATATTATATATGAACATGATAATAAAAAGATATGATATCTTATAGACATATGAGACGTTTATCTCATCATGTTAATATAATAACAATGCAGGTGCCAATTATACCATATTACATGAATTCCTGTCACTCCTTGGTTATCTAGTTTTGAAAAAAGCCAAACAAATACTTAAATCAGATACAGCATAAGACCATAACAGCGTCTCTCCAGGCCGGTAGAGAGGGCCTGACAATTTAGAACTGAGCACAGCGTGCCCTGGAGGCACGGGGGCACCTTTTCTCCCCACGGCAGGGAAACCCAGATATGAAAAGATTGAGACTCCTCTGGTTGGGCTAGGAAGCCCTCTGGCTTTTTCCAAGTCAGACGGTGGAGCGGGGAGTTGAAGGGAATCACCCAGGGAAGAGAAGAAATTAAGAACCTCAAGCAAGAGGGAGAAACCTTCCACCGAACCCTCTTTCTCTCCCAGGATCATCCAGCCAAGATGCCGGGCCACGGGGAAGACAGGAGCCTGGCGCTGTCCGCGGTGCTGGACAGCCCGCCGCGCCCACTCACCGGCCACCATCGTGGCTCCCAGGAGGCCAAGAAGCACCGCCGGCTGCATGGCCGGGCTCGCCCGAATCTGCGCGGAGAAGATGGGCAGCTGGTCCAGCGGAGCGAGGTGCGGACCGAAGAAGAGATGAAGATGCTCCAGAAAGCAGTCCTGTGTCGGTGGTGCCCGCGGTGTGGCGCAGGCCCCCGCTCTTTTAAAGGGCAAGTCCGGTTGCAGGGCCGGGAGGGGCGGGCACCTAGGAGGCGGCGCCCCCTCGCTCAGCCCTGACGTCACGAGGCAGCCCCGTGGGCGGTGGCACACGTGGGTGGCAATTTGCACCAGCCCAGTCGCCGGGATGCTCTGGGTCTGGAGCGTGGGTGGCGAGAAAGCCAGATGAAGGAATAGAAGGGTGAGGGGAAGGGATGCCAATCGGAGACCAGGGAGAGGCGAGGTCCCACTTAGCTCACCCAAGATTGCTCCTCATCTTCCCCCGCCGCCTGCACTTCCAAGTCTAAAAAAGTGTGTTGGAGGCTGTGTATGGTGTGCGGTTCTGTTCAGAGTTTGTCTATGCATGATTAAGTCTGTTTTGTGTCTCCACTACCTAAGGAAGGAAGAATAAGACCCCTGCTAACAAGAGAGAACTAAACCGTGGTGAAAATGGGAAAAGGAGTGATGGCTTTAAAAACAAAAGGTGCAGCTGGAGAATATGGAACCTGCTGGGGGGGTTTTGTGTTTTGTTTTTTTTCCCTCAAACTTTTGGTCTTAAATCTACTTATCCATGATTCATTCTATCTATCAGCTATCTACCTATCTAATCATCTATCTACGATTCTCCCAACACATTACATATACATATGGTAAAAATGAAAAAAGCAGAAGCTACAAAAGGCTTTACTATAAATGTTTCTCCTCCACCTCTAATTCGCCAAGTTCCCCAGTTCCCTTCTGCAGAGTCAAAATGACTCTTAGCCACTTTCTGTGGTTAGGCTTGATTTACTTGGGGACCATACACAGTTGCATCTTCATTTGAATGGTTGCACAGTATGACATTAATTGTATGCACTAGAATTTCCTTAGTCCCCTTTCTGATGGGCATTTATTTGGGTTGTTATCCTTTGGCCTCATTACTCCTTTATAGCAGAGCCATAGTCTCAGGCGCTGGGAATGGAATAACCTGCTTGCAGGAACTAGTGCATCCCACAAGCCATGTGCATCTTCTCTTGATTTAAAATTGAAATAGGAAATTACTTTGTTGTAATGTGTGAGAGGAAAGCGAAAACATCTTCCAGGATATTTTTTATTTCAGTTTTTCTCAGTCTAATGAGGAATCGGGAAAGCAGCAGGCTAATGCCCTGCACAAAAGAGAAACAATTCAGGAACTTCTCCAGTGATAACACAGGCTTCGGAGAATAGAGCGAGGCTTCATTTGGGGTCCTTTTCCAGGAAGACAGATGTCTGCATGCACAGCTAAAAGGAGGTGTCAGTGTCCTTTTCCTGAAAATCAATGAGGCTTAAATTATTTTGCATGTGCTGAGTGCATGGCTACATCTTCCTAAAAAGGCTGAGAATTAGTTCACCAAGACCACAGCCACAGAATATCTAAAAGAAGAATCTTAAAAAAGATATTAGTGGAATAATTGGAAAAATTTGAATAAGACCTGTAGATTACATAATAATTGTTGTATCAGTGTTAATTATCTGATCTTGAGAATTGTACTGTGATTATGTAAGAAAATGTCCTTGTTTTTAGAAAATACACTTTCTAGTATCTAGAGATAAAAGGGTGCCACATGTACAATTGATTCTAAAATGTTTTAGAAAAAATGTAATGGTAGAGTTAGGGGAAGAATACTAAGGTGAAGAAAATAATAAAGAAAGAATACTAAGGTGAGCAGGACAACATGATAACATTTGGGAAAAGTGTATGAAAAATTTTAATACTATTTTTGCATTTTTCCAAAATCTGATATAATTTTAAAACAAACAAAAAAATGTTCCTGGCACAAAAGAATCTGTTTAAAAATCTCTGAAAGCAGTGGGTTCAGAAAATGAAGGTGTTGCATTAAGGCCCTTCCTTGGGTACTGATCTGGGCGATGTTTTTCCTCTACTGTTGAAATTATATAAGGGTTCCAACCGCTCTCTTTTGTCAAATATGTTGTTATTGATTTCAGAGAGAGAAAGAAAGTGGGGGAGAGAGATAGAAAATCAATGATGAGAGTTAATCATTGATTGGCTGCCTCCTGCACACCCCCTACTGGGGATCGAGCCTGCAACCCTGGCACGTGCCCTGACTGAGAATGGAACCTTGACCTCCTGGTTCATGGGTTGATGCTCAACCACTGGGCCACACTGGCTGGGCCCAACTGCTCTTTTAAATGCATTGATTGCCAGTAGGGCTTTGAAATTGTCATCTTCCAGGGGCATCTGCAGTCCAGTTCTCTAATGGGATTTCCCTTGTTGCCTTGAAAAACACAGGGTTTAAAGTCATCTGTGGCTTCTCAGACTGAACTTGCTCTGAGTTAATTACTCATCAAGAAAAGTCTTTTCATTATTGTCAGTTGGCCCACAGCCATTTCCTATATTCAGACTTACCTTTCTTTTTTCTCATTACCTAATAACCTTTTTATTATTTTGCCTTCACATTCAGCTTTCCATGTACCAGAAGGAAAAGAGCTTTGGGGAGGAGCTTTTCTCAGGAATTTTATCAAACCAGGATGATGGAGGAAAACCAGTATTTTCCTTAGGAACCAGGGTTTAGAAAAAAAATGTATGAGATAAGGATATAGTCAGGTTAAATTTTTTTTTTTTTTTTTTTTACCATATCACCACCTAATTACCTTGGGATTTTTTTTTTTTTAAATTGAAGTGACTATCCTTTGCCACCTGCTCTGCCATATCACTTTGAAAAAAATCTAGTCCACATGTGTATGGTATGTTTCTGGACTCTTCCAGAATATTGATTCATTCCATTTCATTGGTCTATTTGTTTATCCTTGGAGCACTACCACACTTACCACACTTTCTCTATCACCATAACTTTTTAATGTCTTAATATCTGATGGAAAAGGTCTTCACATCTTGTTTTTCTTCATGAGGGTAGTGGTCATTCTTGGTCCTTTGCATTTTCATGTAAATTTTAAAATTAGTTGTCAATTTCCATGAAAAAAAACCCATTAGGATTTTGATAGGAATTACATCAAATCTATAGATTAATTTGAGAACAGGTGGCAGCTTTAATCTGTAGATCAATTCGGGAACAGATGACATCTTTACAAGATTGAGCAAACTTGGCTTTTTGATTGCTGATAATATTCTGGATATAATCTTATCTCGAGTAGCACAAATTCCATTACCACAGGAAGAGATAAAAAGCCATAGGAAAGAGAATGTCTCAGGAATGCTCTCAAAGAAGAATTGAGGAGGAAAACATATCTCCTCTAGGAGATTAACCATGATTTTGTATAAGACTCCTGAATAGATTACCCATCAGGGTCTGGCCAGGAAAATGAAACCACTACAAGGAATTTAACACAGGAAATAATGTCCAGAGATCAGAAAAGTTAAAATAGGGGAAAATGAGGAAACCCAGACAGTAGTAACCGCAGGCAACTGCTGCACCCCTGGGGAATGGAGAGGTAAAAGAAGAATGTGTCCTTACTGAAACCCAGAAATGTGGCCACCTGCTAGGAGTGTAAACCTCTGCAGCTAGGAAGGTGGGATTTGGGGGCAGCTTTGGGAGAAGGTCTATTTGGTCGGAACTGGGACCATGGAAGAGAAGCAGCCACTGCTAGAGATGTAGCCCATCCTTCCAAGAAGAGAAAGGGAGAGTATCACCCTGGCTTCTTCCTTTCTTTAGTGCCAGTGCCTCTTAGTGGCTGAATATACCTGGAAATGACTGACAGGGAAGCCTGGGAAATAGCATTTGCAAAGTCCAGTCCCGCCAGTGAAACAGAACAGAGGAAGGAAGGATCTATCAAAAAGCAAACAGAGAGATGAATGGCACATAAATCAAAACTACTTAGCAGTATAGGTACTGAATTTAGATTTTTCTCTCAGAATTACTTTTATTTGCATATGTAAATGCTCACTATGTGTCAAGCACTGTGGTAGACACATATCCTTTGGCTACAAGTCACATGGTCAATCCCAACATTAATGATGAAAGGAAACATACTCTACCTGTTCTAGCAGAGTTCGCCAGCCAGTCAGGGAGCAAAGGTGGGAGAGGTGTGGGGTAGACTCCAGGTCTACAGAGGAGGGTGAGAGAGCATAGCGTGCCAGGACAATGGCATGACCGTGCAAACTACTGCCCTCCGAACATACATCGACAGAATTATCTGTGTTTGAAGCCAATAAGACAAGTATGTATTGCTTGGGACTTCAAGGTGTTTTTCCCCCCTAATAAATAGGACCAAGTCAACAAGTAATTTCCTTAGTAGTTTGGTCCTAGAATATATTTAGTACCTGGTTTCTTATGTCAGGTCAGATTCCTAATACACTTTGATAGAATTAAGAAATCACAATAAAATCCTCATCTTAAGAGAAGATAGAAACAATTTTTTAATACATTAAACTATAGGTAATGTAACTACTTGTAGCTTTCAGGTAGATACATATTAGTGGGCAGGGGCTGGGTAACGGTGGTCAAAAGGTGGAGGACATGGGGGACATCTGTAATGCTGTCAACAATAAAAAATACATGTTAAAATATAATGAATAAATAATTTAAAGTAAATAAATACAATTTAACATTTCTCAAAAGTAGTCAAAAGATAGAGCCACAACCATTTAGGTTTGACAAAGCAGGGGCTACTCCTCTTCATTTCAGAGTTTGCAGAAAATTGGATGTGATAGATAAACAGATTCAATTATTTGTTTATATATTGGTGATAAAGCAAAGAATGGATTTTGAACTACATGGGATAACTACGGTTGGGTCTGATGAGTTGATAAGACCAGTTTTGACAAATCTATTCTAGTTAGCAACATGTCACATGATAAAGATCTAGAATGGATGAAGAGTGCCTCCCGATCTCTCATATGTTCCTCCTCCTTCTCCCCCTCCCCAGCCTCCTCCCCCACTGCAGTAAATGCTGCTGGTTTTCTGCTCATTTCCCTCAATCTTACCACTTTGGAGCACACCGGTTTGATTTACAGTGATCAAGACCAACATTTCTTTGCCCGATGGCTTTCTCTGGTCACCAGAGCTAGGCCAGAAGTGCTGAGGAAGTAAGGCGCCCAGGATATCCCTCACTCAAAGACTGCCAAGAGTTGGTGTATAAATACCCCAGATCCACCATGGCTGATGTAGCTCAGTTGGTTGGGCATTTCCTGTGCACTGAAGTAACTGATTCGATTCCAGGTCAGGGCACATGC